TTATATTTTATATAAAATATAAAAATATTTATATTTTATATAAAAGATATTTTGTATCTTTTATATAAAAGAATGGGTGACACAGTTATCTCATATTATAAAATGTAAAAATCTCAGCTTATAGAACTGATACAGAAATATATGGAAATTGTTTTTATTACCACATTTTCTTTATTTTGGAAAGATGGTTTTTCTAGATAGACAGACCTCCCAGAACATTTTTTTCTGTCTTATAGGTGGATTTGGAGAGAAAAGGCCAAAAACCACCACATTTTAAGAGCTAATTTAAGATCATGTGTAAAGAGCAATAATACTTCACACTATACTAAGCCAAAACAAAGATGAAATTAAAAATAAACCAACCAATTTTCTCACAAACTATCCATAATATGGCAATTACGAAGTATCTCATTTCCCCCACAACACATCTACTGAATGGTGGATTTGAGACGACCACACGAGGAAATTTTGAATACCTCCTCCATGACATTGGGCAAGGCAGTCTGGCAACTAGAATTTAGAGACTAGAGTTTGTATTTCTGGTTTTTATTTCCAGATTCTAAGCCAACTCTGAGTGACCCATCTGACTCACTTACTCCTCAGCTCTGCATGCTTGATTCTACGCACAGGGCGAAGGACCATCTATCCTTTTGGATGCTGGGCAAATTTTGAATACCTCCTCCATGACATTGGGCAAGGCAGTCTGGCAACTAGAATTTAGAGACTAGAGTTTGTATTTCTGGTTTTTATTTCCAGATTCTAAGCCAACTCTGAGTGACCCATCTGACTCGCTTACTCCTCAGCTCTGCATGCTTGATTCTACGCACAGGGTGAAGGACCATCTATCCTTCTGGATGCTGGGCGAATGAATGTATGATCTGGTCTTGATGTTTTACAACCCTGGGGAGGAAGGAGGTTGGCAGGGATACACGTAGAGCACAGACTGACAGGTACACCACCTTCGCCTTTAAATCCCCAGTTATTTCTGCCAGTGTGATGGCGGGAGCCAGGAAGAAAAAGCAAACCAATCGGAACGGTGGCAGCAGGGTGGCCGGCCTCGCCAGGCGTGTTCCCTGCACACACCACCGCGGAAAGCTCGCGTGCCAAGCGAGGCTACGTGCCGCCTCTCTCCTGACACCGCACAATTCATCACCGAGCAACTGGGAAGGGAGTTTGAGGACTTCTGCCTAAAGCTTGTTTTCGGTGGTGATGGGCATTGGTCCAAAGAGACCCTAACAATCTAGAGCTCTCTCTTTTCCCCTTAGAAGGACCTACGTAGGCCCAAAAGGAGATGAAACTTCGGGAGGTTGGGTCTTTCCATCTCTCCTCTCCTGCTGCCTCGGCTGCTGCTGCTGCTGCTCCTGCTCCTGCCAGCACATATGCTCTCCACCCCCGTGGAGGACCCCCACTGCCCGTTCTCCATCCACTGCCACCATCGGAGGACTCATGCATCCACCGCATCTGTCTTATGTGGCTCTCCCAGCAACGTCCACCTGTCTGTGAACAGCTCTGGGGGGACTTTGGGACAAGCTGGTGATGGCACGGCACTACCAGCAATGTACTGGTGGCACCTCGAGCAGAGATGAGACCTCAATAAGCAAGAGACTAAGGAAGGGGAATTAGCTATTTCTCTTCTAAGTCTGTGGACTGAATTGTAATCCTGCAGTTGTGAGGACTGAGTCTGTGTCTCACCAATCAAAAATAGAGTTCCTTTCTTTGGACAATTTCAGCCAAAACCATCTATGAGACAAGGACTTCAAAAATTTCCTAGGGCGGGCACAGAAATGGAAGCAGACAGGGAAGATGTTTAGCTAGTTAAAAAAGTTAGAGACACAGCAAGCCGAGCCAGGAAGGCACTCAGAGAAAGATTTAAAAGGGAATCATCAAAACCCGAGCAGCAGAAACTCAGAAGCAAAGAAACGTAAAGACTCAAAATGCCCAGCAGGAAGAATCTGTACATCCGCCTGGATTATTCATCGTCTTCCCGGTGTCTGCTGTGCCCAAGGAAGGACCCAGTCTCATGGTTGACTTCACAGAGTTGAGTGTAGAATTGAATATTGGCATATTGGCTATTGTGCTCAATGACTATTTGCCAAATTGGATTGAATCGTCAATAATCTGTCCCTGACCCTAAAGACCCGTTGCCCGTGTACAGAAAAGGCATGCTGTTGACGGGGGCTTGCATTACGGGGGAGAGGGATTTGCCTGGGATAAAAGGAGCAGGCTTCTCAGACGGGGAGGGACTGGAATCTAGTGGCAGAATCCCCTTCTTCAGACACCTTTAACAAAGGCTGAACACATGCTCTTGGAAAGCTCCTGACAAACAGGACCTCCGTCCTGTTTCTAAATCTCCTATAGGAGCTCAGGCTAAGCCAGGCATAAAGGGAGCCCCAAGAGACAGCTGGTGAGCTGGATTGTGTTATGGCCCAGAGGTGGGCCAACCCAGAAAATCACCGCTCAGCTACAGTGCTTGGGATAGCCATATCTACATGTACACATCTAGGGAGATGTACCTAGAAGTTTAATTTTCTTCTTCCTCAAAGAGCCAGTCATATTACATATCTATATCTATCCAAAGATATCCAACTCTACATCTATCTATTCTGGGTGATACTGTTCCATTCATATAATCCCTATATCTATCTATATCAATGTACCTATAGAGGTATAGATATGTGGTACAATTGGATCTTTAAGAAAAAAAAATTAAATTTCTATCTAATTTTATCTCAGCCTCATCCCCACGAGATATACAGAAACCACTTTAATACTTACATTTACTGGATTTGGAAATCAGGGAAATATTTGCTTGAGTTAATCATGGTCAGCAAACTAGTTTCCAATATCACTTATATTCAGTTCAGTATATTATTCCCATGACCACATTGCTTCTTTTAACATGTGGAAGATTTTCATATATTTAACCCCCAAGTGAAAAAAATGACAAGTCAGATATAAACCAAGAATCTCAGCATATTAACCCCATAACCTAGGTATCTATTATCGTTCTCAGTACTCACCGCTACTGTGAAAGCACGCACGGGGGAGATGCTGAATGTGGGGTCCTCCGGCCTCTCCTGGTAGACCACGTGGTAACGGGAGATGATGCCATTGGGAGAGCCTGGCTCCGTCCAGTTCAGCAGCACTGAGTGAGCACCAGTGGCCTGAGCCCAGGGCGCTGGCAGGTCTTGGGGTGGGGCCTCCAGTGTCCGTGCTGAGGTCCACAGACTCTCCACGGAGCCCCCGGAGTTCTGGGCTCTGACCTGGTATTCGTAGAGCGTGAACGGCCTCAGGGTGCCCGCAGCATCAGTAAACCCGAAGGCTCCTTCTGTCCAGACAAACACCAGGGCCTCCTCGTCAGAGCCAGCAGGACGTCTGAAAGGGAACCCAGGCGGTCAGGGACAGCTGCACACTTCAAAGCCAGGTGGGCAGACAGAGTAGGACATGGCTTTGTAGGAGAGTTTGGAATCAACTCAGCTTTTCAACGGTCTCTTCCTTGTGTCATGACGGAAGGAGACCAGATGGAAGAGTTCACCGGAGGCCTGATCAAAGGCCATTTTCAAAATATGGTTTAAAGATCCTATATAATAAAAGGCTAATATGCAAATTGTCCCCTTGGGAGTTCGACCAACCGGGAGTTGGACTGCTCACTATGACATGTGACCACCAGGGGGCGGCGTGGAATGAAGGAAGGCCCCAGCTGGCAGCTGGCAGCCAGGGGAAGGCCTTGATCAGCCCTGATCACCAGCCAGGCCTTGGGACTCTAACCGTGCATGAATTTCATGCACCAGGCCTCTAGTATAAGTATATTTGGTTAATCTTAAAAAGTGAAACACTACCCATAATCACATTTTCTTGTATTAACTTCCAGACATTTTTTTAAAAAAAATTACACATGCAAATACAGGGTGTCCCCCCAAAATGTAGACATTACAGACACTGCTTCTGTTTATAATTAAGGATTAATTATAATTAATGATTAATTCCAATGGGTTAAATCTGTGTAGGTTTGCAGGGCCTGGCCTTTGTACTTGAGGCAGATACCAGGTACCCAGGGTGCCACTGGGAGGGATCCATTCTAATGGACCACAGGGCTCCCGGCCCAGGTCTCCACTCATGGAGTGTTTTCAAGTGTTTGCTAGGAATGTAATACAGCAAGCGAACATACGAGTTTCTATGGGGAGATAACATTTTCCATTTTGTCTGGCTTCAACCTTCCTAGGACAATTCAATTAATTTTTTATTAAACTCTTGTGAATTCCCACACTGAGGTGTAGCCATGGTTGTCATAAAACTGACATGCTTAAAAAAATGGCCTGAAAGTGTGAATTTAAAAAATCTATACTATGTAAGAGATTGAGTATTACGTTAGTCTCAAGTTTTATTCACTGATACAACGAAAGAATGCAGCCTGGTTAAGAATTTCTTATCACTCCTGAATACTTAATAAATTCATATTGTGGTGAGGTATTTTACCTGTGGTGTTAAAAACAGAATATCTTATGTCTGATAAGCTCTGAACAGAAGAGGTTGGACAGGCCACAATTACTCCTAGTTTAGTTAAGATTTGGGCTTCAACTGTTCATTTAACGGGACGTGTTTCCTCTTGAGCTCTCTATGGGGAGAGAAATCACATTTTAAGATCTCTCTGAGTAGCCAAATGGCTGTGCTATCCTTAAACGCATTGGGAGATACTTTAATAATACACTTTCTAACTAGAGTTCATTTAATCTTGTTTAACACTAAAAGGAAAAACAAAAATAAGTTTTAATACTGAGCACTGTGTACTTGAACAGGGACGCATACTGATGCTGTCTTACTGGAACAGCCTTTAAAGAGCTCCCTCCAGCCTGTCAATCACTTAGCCTCCAGGCTATCAGATGGACTGTTGTGGGACCACAGTGCTTGTGTTTGAGTCGCCCTGACTTTACTTAACAGTGACCCCAAAGTGCAAGAGTGATGCTGCCAACTCAGATACGACCAGGAGAAGCCGTAAAGTGCTCCTGTAAGTGAAAAAGGTGAGGACAGTAAGATAGTTTAAGAGGGAGATTGAGAGAGTCCTCATTGACTAAGTTTTATTACAGTATCTATAATAATAAAGGTGTAATATGCTAATTAGACCAGACATCCTTCCAGCGACCTTCTGGACGAAGCTGGTGCTGCGAGGGAAGCCCGGGTCCTGGCTACCAGAGGGAAGCCGGTGCCGGCAGCCGGGGGAAGAAAGGCCTACTTTTGCACGAATTTCATGCATTGGGCCTCTAGTATTGTTATAATTGCTCTACTTGATTAGTTACTGCTGTTATTGTCTTACTGTACCAAATTTATCAATTAA